CCCCAAAACCCCAAAACCCCAAAACCCCTATACAGGCAATACCGTCCATTTATAATAATTTTGTTCAGAATTATAAAAAATGCCAAAAATTCAAGTAACAATGACATAAGAAATTAGAAATTAGGGGCAAGCATTGCTTGCAGATAAAATATGGCACGATGACACTTTCAGCATCTGCTGAAGAGCATACTTCTCATCTTCACTGAAACCGTCCTGGTCATGATCAATGAAGAAGTGGAGTAAGGTGTCATATTCTTTGGTGCAGACAGTCCTCTCCATCTTTACGAAAGAGAATTGGGTAAAGACGTCTTTACCTGGACCCACTCGCTGAGTCAGGTCTTTTAGGAACCCTCGTAGGCAGCTGTATTCTTTACAAAAATTTGCCTTATGCTTTTGGATAAGCCGAGGATTGATCAAATTTGCCAATGTGAAAACCAGATTGAAGTTAGAATGCTGATTTAGAGTATTTTTACATAATTCCTCTACACATTTCAAGAAGAAAATAGGCTTATTGCTTTTCTTGCACTTTTCATAGTTGGTATTACTCCTAAAGAGGGACTGAAACCATTTCCTCAATTTCCGGAGGAGGGATCGGTATAAAGAGTCGTATCGGTTGTCCTTCCGTTTCTTCTTAGGCATTGGCATTACAAATTTGGTGGGCTCTTCCTCAACAACACACTGTTTTTCATCACCCAAGGTAATCTCTGAAGGGCATAAAATATCCTTGTAAATAGACGGTTCAGGGTCTGCCTGGGATGAAGCCTTCTCATAGTTTGTTCATCTCTTTGTACTCACACTCTGAGAGCAATTAGGTATCTAAGTAAAGGTCAGAGTTTGAAAGTTGATTACCCTTACCAGCCTCATCTTTATTATTCAAGGGTCCTCAGTTGAGCTTGAGCCTCCTGGATCATCATAAATTTGATAATCGTTTGAAGATAAGGCAGATCATTGGGAATCTTTCTCAAGGTGGTCCAAATTAATGGATATACACTCTGAGCTACCAATATCTGGCTCTGAGATGTCGTCTCAAAAGAATATGTCTCAATCCGTTGAAGGATTTTGTGCTTCAGCGAGGATCGGCTTTAAACTTGGATTATGGAGAACATTCTTGGCAAACTCAAGATCTATATTAAAAGATAAATAAGTGTCTTTTAAACCGCCTGCTAAATGCAAAATTACAGCTTAAGAATGTTTAAAATAGACGAGATTACTATCTTAAGGTCCATAACAATCCTTTAGAGCTAAAAATGTATCCCTAAAACCTCTAATAGCTATCAGAAGATATGTGTTATACTAAGTTTAGACCCTCCTTACATATCAGAACCTAATGCTGTAAATTTTCAAGAATCTCTCACATAAAAATGGTTTAAAGCTGCCCTGAATGGTGACAACTCGGGCCAGTGAAGATCAAGGTTGAAATCTATTCCCTGTGAACTCTCACTAGTCTTTGCAGTCTTTAAAAAATGGTGACTGGAAATTGATCTATTTATAGATGAAGAGCTGAATAATTTCATCCAAGTGGGGGTATAGCTCTTAACAGAAGGTTTGATTGCAAAGTCTGGCAGTATATCAACTCTCACATAATAAACCAAGATATTGACAATGCTTGTCTGAAGAATTCCCTGGTGATCTGAATTGGAACTTACCTTCAAGGTAAAATTTAGTATTTTGCTGGTTATTACTTTGGTGCATCTCTATTTCCAAATTTAATATTTATAATTTACATTTCTACTACTTCCTACATCAAAGGGGTTTTGGGGTTTTGGGGTTTTGGGGTTTTGGGG